GCTGACCCTACAGAAGAATAAACTGACGAGTCTACCACCTGTGCTTTTTGGAGAAATGCCTAAATTGACAGAGTTAAGCCTGAGTCAGAACAATCTCAGCGCTCTTCCTAAAGGAATATTCAGCCCTCTGAAGAAAGTCAAGAAGTTAGATCTGTCTAAGAATCAATTTGTCACCTTTTATGCTGAGAACTTTGAAGGTCCTGAGAGGCTCACAGACCTGAATCTACAGTACAACAAGATAAAGTCACTGGACGTAGATGTGTTTGAAAAGCTACAATCACTGATCACACTCAAGCTAGCTCACAACGACCTCCAGACGCTTCCTGGGGATATTTTTGAGCCTTTAACAAAACTGAGAAAACTTTACCTCAATGACAACCCTTGGCACTGTGACTGTAATCTGATAGAGCTTCACCTCTGGATGAAGATGAACTCTGACAAGCTTGTGTCTCCTGCTGTCTGTGAGTATCCAGAAGATCTAAAAGGACAAGAAATAAAATCATTACCAGAAGATCAACTTATCTGCCCCACCCTTCCCCCCACAATCACAACCATCACCACCACCACAACTCCCAAAGCACTCCTAACTACAGAACCAAAAACCACCATCATTACTACCACAACACCAGCAACCACTTTGTCAGCTACAACAAACACCCCTGTCTCAACCATGCCACTAGCAACAACCATTACAAAGGCACCAACAAACACCATAACAAAAACTCCAGCCACCATGACCACCACCTCAACACCAACACCCACAACAACTTTAACCACCAACACCACTTCGAGTACAACCACAACCATTACGACTATGCATACAACAATTATGCCCACGACCACCAGCTTCAGCACCCAACCAACCACCACCCAAACAATGCCTCCTAAAAAAAACACTCCAGTGATTATCTACTTCATACTGCTGGTGGTATTAATCATCTGCTTGCTGGCACTGGCTAAGCTCACCCTGTCTGTTTACCACCTGCTGCAGCGCAGGAAGAGGATGAACCAGATGGTCAAACCCATCAGCATCTCTAACAGGGAAGAGGTAATGCTCATGCCCATATGTGAGGCAGATATGAAGGCTAACATGTAATAGTTGAAGCTACAGTTAATATTTTAAAAATAACAATGGATCAAATGGCAATATGTTAATGTGAGGTGTTGCTCAAAATATCTAACCGTGTATAACCCGTATCTGCAGCTCCCCTCAGCATTATGGAGTTTTTACTGACTTTTATTCATTGTTTAGCTGTCCAACAGGAACCCATATATGTATAAGGTCTGAAGTTATATATTTTGATGGATCTATGCAGGGACTACAACTTCTCTAGCTTACATTAACTGATGGTTCACCCACCTGGGGGCACTGGAAACAAGCTGTGAACATGACATTGACAATATAAAGTTAATGCAAACTTGTCACTAAACAGGTGCATATCTAAACAGCCAGCTGCTACGATCCTGTTTCCGGTCACCTGACAGATGTAAGTCAAATATTAACTTCCTTTTAGTTGGGTTTTTGGTCTCTACCAACTCCTGGGGCAATTATCTGTCTTTTAAGCAGCTAAATGCTTCACTATATTCACCAGCAAGTGCTCTGACCGCTGTTTGGTGCTGAGCAGGTAATGAACAGATAATGTTTTAGAGAGTTTTCACTGAAAACAGCTGTCTGCTGCAGCTGAAAAACAATGCTAAGAGAGTGGTGAGAGTTGCAAAGTTGAGGGTTGTACAACCAACACAATGACCTTAAAATACACAAATGGACTGTAGAGCTAAAGGGAACTGCAGAGTTGGGTGTTTCTCTGTGGTTTTGTCACTATGAACCACCCTTTCACATACAAGTAGTCATATGTTCAGTTGTTAATATGAAAATACTGATTATAGTAACTTTACATAAAAACATTTAAGGTATACTATGCAAGAATTATTGATTACTGTTTGTAAATGATATTGCCAGCAAAAGTGAAAGTGAAAGCCAAACCCTGATTCACTCTTGTTTGCTATATTTGCACTTCTGTGTTGCTTTTTTGCACTGTGTCTGGCACCTGGTCGCTACCTTTTCATGAAGTCATGAACTCAACTGCAGGGTCTCTGCAAATAAATATACTGCCAATCTGCCACACACTTCTAGTTGGTTTTAAGTGATGATTGAGAGGCATTACTTTTGTATGAGTCTATGAACTGTTATTTAGGAAAATCCTGCATACTGTACTGCACATTTATGATACTTAATTCACATTTCAGGGAAGAGGAAAAAGTCTGGGGTTTAGATACCTCTTTAATTAATATATATATAAAAAAACTAATACCATACATTCTTCATATGAACATGTTGCTGATCACATGCTTTAGCAGCCTGTACATACATGTCAAAGTGTCTCATGTTGAACGTTTTGCTTGATGAAAAAATAACTATTTTTGTAAGCATAATGCATTTAAGATGATTAATAAAATTCTTCTTGGATATCTGTTTGTCTTGTTTAAACTGAGGTCCTGGCACTTGGCCACAACAAGCACCCTCTTTCACCAGCAGGGAGAGACAAAGATCCTTGGGACTATATTCTCTGTCTCATTTCACAGAAAACAAGAAACTTTTCACATCCTGAAGAACTCTCTGTAAAAACCATCAAATCATCGTAGTGCTTTGGTTAAAGTTAAGTAAGGAACATCTTGTCTTTTACTTTCTGCCACTTATGAATCAATAGAGGACTTTCTGAACTTTTCTCCTGCTCTAAACTTCTCAGTCACTTTGCACTTTGTCAAAGTCCCAACATTCATAAGTCTGACACCACCGTATCTGGCCAATCATCATGTTTCTCCCGTCATTCCTCGAGCCAATCATTCCCTGGAGGCTGCTCTTTCAGACCTGCTATTGCACAACCCACCACCTCTGTGATGTTCAAAAAGATTTAACTGAGAGTTTCCATCAACCACCTGCTGACTTAACTCCACCACCAGCATCTTAACTCAGGGAGCTTTTCCCATCTCCTACCTCTCTTTGTATGGGTCTACAGTGAAGTCTAGATATTAACGTTTCTCTCTGTTGCCTCAGCAAACATCATTACACACTTCCAATTACTCTCTAATTATTGACCTTTAGCATACTGGCAGTTCCAGTTGTGCATTCAAAAATTTGTATCTGACTTTCCAGTGCATCCGTCTGAATGTCTGCCTTTACTTCTCGCAAACAAACATATCACAAGTCCACACTGAGAGTCAAACTGATAAGAACAGAATGGGAAATATATCAAGGTATATTAAAATGTTGTATTAATCAAACATGATTATTGTTGAAAGCTCCAACAGACTGCTTTTCATGTATACCACATCACTATAAATCCCCAAATAAAAATAAGCTACACACTAGCAGCACTTTGAATCTTGAAATTTTAACTCTCTTGATGTTTTCTTCACTGATGTGCAAATGTTAACTGAAAGCAAAGTGACATCATGGCTTTTTATAGAGCTTAGAGAGATGAGATGATGAAAGATTACAATTTGAATATAAAAGAGTGAATGGAAAAACCTAAGTGGGGCTGGCTCTATCCTCTTCTATCATTAGGTTGGCTCAATATGCCAGTCAAGACAATTAGCTTGTGACTGTTACTGGTAACATGACTGTCTAAATGTGTGTAATTATCTGAGTGTCCAGCAGGATACAGGAGCATAAGCACACTGAGAAACCGAGACTCCTCCTGACACAAAAACAGCTGATGTGCAAACTCACTCAGTGTGTGCTGGGGTCTTTTGGACCCCGCAGAGGATGAACAGGTATAGAAAATGGATGGGTAATTGCTCAGAGCTCCCAAACGTCACATAACGATGTCTCAGCCAGCCTAAGCCTGCCAGTGTAGTCAATATTGATCACAAGTTATTTGTTTCCATCTAGTGGTGAATTCTTTGAACTGCATGAAGAGACATCACAACTTAAAAACATTCTTTACTGTAACTTTATTTTTTAAATTTCAAAATATTTTTATTAAGGTTTTCAAAAAGGAAAACAAAAAACCCAGCACCATGCAGTATACATCAGTGTGCAGAGCAAACATGACCCTGAGGCCATTACAGTAACACCTTCTACAATACAATAGCTCTTCCCCCCCACCCATCCTCCTGTCCCAAATTTTTTCCTTCCTTTAAATATTCCTACCGCACAATGTCTAAAATTTGAGATGGAGAATAACAACATCCATGGAGTCAGGTTTTACCCTTTTTTATTTATATGTCAAGGGCTGTAGACCTTTTTACTGTTAGTAAACAGCATGATGTTTATTGATGGGTGGAGCTTAGCTGGAGGCAAAACAATTCTCTGCAGGCATTAGCCAGTGTTAGCTAGCGCGTTCTGTTGGTTTGTTGTAGACAATGGAGGAGGATGATACGAGTGGTGCATTCAGAAAAACTCATTCTGAACCGAACTAAACCGTTGGTAAATTCGGAGTGCTGTCAGAATGTACCGTTCAGATCCAGAGCACCGCACTCTCTGAGTAGCGACCAACAGGGCTCTTATTTTAGTGTAGAGCATCACACTTAATTTATGAACACGCCATGTCAGGTCACTCACTCTCTGGGACCGCAAATGTTACTTGAGTAAGTAAACACTTACTTAACACCCGTATGCCCTCACTCAGTCTTGTGGTTGATTACTGTGCCAATCTTACAAAGGTGGGTGACACTTGAATGGTTTTCGAAGCTAACGTTAGCTAATGCGCTAAAAAGTTAGCGTTACAGAGAAATCCAATATTCCTCTTAATATCTACTCGATTTCTGATAAGGTGGACATGATAACCCTTAATACACATAACTTTATTCTACAACAGTAAATACTTTTTCCCTAACCTGATTTGAAGTGTGCGCTGCACATTTTTGATGATCACCTCTGTCCAGTCCTTTCGTCTTATCGCATTTAACCGTAGTTGTCTTTGTTTTTGTTGATTGGCAGTGGTGGCTGGTATGTGATAGAATATAAGTTTTGAGCCATGACTCCTTCTATTCTAGCTATCAATAATACAACAAGATGACATTTTAAGACTTCTATGTAGCCTACAGCCCTGTGGTGGAGTCAGGTTACGCCTCTTGTTAACAAACTGACATCATTGTGACGTTGGTCCTAAAAGGGTCTGTATTAGAACGCACTGAGAGCTGATGTTATTTGGGTTTATGAAAATGAGACAAAAAGGGTCCCTATGTCTTTTTTTTCCTGAACCACTGGCAGAGAAGCACAGCATCTCTAATTTTACACAGGACATTATGGCTTGAAGCCACTGGCCAAATGTGGGCGTGGCAGCCTCCTTTCATTTGAGCAAGATGGCGCGCCTGGGGTCATCTCCACTAGCAATGCCAAACAGGGCAACAATAGGGTCTAGTTCTATTTTTTTGAAAGGATTTTAGAAAGGGTATGGAAGATATCTTTCCAAAATTAGGGCACAGCAAGTTCATATGGTGTGATGGACTAAGAGTCTCATCCTACTCTCTAATGTGCTATGTGTGAGCTCAGTCCTGCGTGTTCTTTAATGAAGCAATAGGAGAAGATATATTCGGTCTCAGTTAATGTAGTTTATTAAGCAGTAAAGGAATAAAATTACAGAGCTCTGGGTCTCAACTTCACGTCCCTGACGAACAACAAAGGTGTGTCAGTTCAGGAAGTCTGACCTCCTGTCCTTTCCCTGACCCAGTATATTTGAGCGTAACAGAGTGTCATTGTGCACGCAAGGCGTTGTCCTCTTCTCATTGGCAGTTCCACTTCCTCCTTCACCACACCACGCCCCTGCCTCGTGTTAATCTGACTCCTTCCCGCTGGCGGTGGGGGCGTGGTTCCTGTTTTGAAAGACAAGAGACAACACAACTCCCTACACGTGCTGTACCTTACTATCTGTATATCACTTTCTATTCTTTTTACCATATATGAAACTAATTATCTAAGCATTGCGGTATGTGCTCCTCAGACTTCATGTCTCTTCCTCTCCTGTACTTCTCCACTTCTGCAAAGCAAACACATTCAGATCAGCTGAAATCATCTCAGTATTCTCATTGTTCACACATCTAAAACTTATATAGTGAAACACAACTTATAGTAAAACACATAACATCAT